TTAATTCGTCTCAGCGGCTTTTTGCAGATGAGCTCTGCAAATATGTAAATGTAGCAAATATGGGATGACTTAAACACTTGTTATGAACTGCGATAATTATTAGCTTTTCATAAAGTCTGAGAAGCGTGGCTCGGTCTCTGCAGTGGGACTCTTAGACAGGAAAAACAGGACGGACTCCTAGCATAAGTGGGATTTTGGTACCACTGCCTCAGTGATTGCAATTTCCTGTAAAAGCAATTTGATTTCGACTATTTGGTCAATATCAAATTGATTTCGTGTTTGTAATTTGATTAAATTGAGGTCGTAGTTATTAAACTCTCAGAAAATCTGATATAATGCACCAAATCTCATTCAGCACATGGTCTCTGCAGAACAATATTCTGAATTTAGCTCTGCCCCAGATATAGACAACTATTACTGTACATGTACACTGACTATCTTGGGTGCTTGACTTATATCAAAGGCTGCAGTATTTGCAAGTGCTATTCAGAGTGCTTTACAGGGGAGGGTGACAACAGACACAGCAGTTCATGAGGGGTCAAGCTGAATACTCTTGATCTGCATTCTGCATACAAGGCCACAACCATAATGCTGGACGTGCCTCCCAGTATTCAGGTATGACCAAAAAACAGTTTGCCAACGCAACAATCAGTCAAATCAAAGGGTAAATGTTAGCTATCCATGTTAGGTAACCAAACTAGCTAAATGTTATATTGCTGTAACACCAAGGGATCATATATGATTGCACTGCACACAGGCTAACCAACAGTGCCAGTAGCAAGTAGCCTAATATAAGTACGCATCCAGTCGAACTCATCTGACACTAGCTACACTCAGGAGTATGTCACTGTGAAGGCGTTTGTGTCATTATGGTATGGCGTTGTAACGTTAGTCAGTTAACATTAGCTAGTTAGCTATGGCACAGAACTGCCCCTTATCAAAATTGTAAGTAACAAGCATAAAATGTCAAATTACCACGACAAGTCTAACTTCGTCGTTCTGTATGGAAGTAACGTTCGTTAGCTAACTAGCTAACCTAGCTAGCTAGCTAACGTTAGTCATAGTTTCACAAAACCATAACAGTGAAAAGAGATGCCGATATTCTGCGTATCTCCAAGAAAAGACAAAAAAGAAAAGGTAAGCTGAGAAACACAGTAAAATTGGTTGCAATATAGACACTTCAAGCCTTAACGTATCTCTGGCCTGTATAGTCTGTAAGTTGCCCATTTACTTACTTTAGCTTGTTTCCCCCGAGGTGGTGGTGCTCTAATGGCTGGAATATATAGCTAATTAAGATATCGAAGCTGGGCTTTCAGGTCATTCTACCTTTGCAATGTAAACATGGCTATATATATATATATATATATATATATATATATATATATATATATATATATATATATAGCTTATTTTGTAATTTAAGTGTAAACTGTAGTCTGTTATACTGTCTGTTATTCAACATGTCTTCATTCTAAACCTACGAGGGCAGAGAGGTTAATAATTTTTGTCAGTGGTGTTTTCAGTGTTGGAAATGAATTAGTGAATTTTTGAAAAGATGACTTGCGTTACTTTTTTGAAGATGCATTGCAGCAGATAAATAACTCATGATGAAAAATCGGATTTTTGTTTTTCTTTTTTTTTCTCTAAATTACACATTAATGAAACAAAAACATTCAGCTAAATTGTATTGTATTTTATGTAGATTTTGACTGAAGAACAAAATGTATCTTTCTATGACCTCATTTCCTCTTTGTATTACAAATTAAACTTGCAATGCAACAAATTTGTGAAATCCATGAAACTATTTAGACTCTGTTTAGACTCTGTAAAACCAGTGATCCATAAATAGCAAATGTTTGTGTAAATGAACCTGCATACTAAAGACAATATGACAGTCTGAGTAATAAAAAGAAAAAAAAAATGTCATCCTGACTAGATATCTGGAAGAACATTTCATAAAACTATATGAAATAATAAAACCATGTCTACTACCACCACACCGCAATCACAGTGAAAAGCCTGCAGGAACCCCCCCACCCCACCTCCCGACTGAAAAACTGAATGGCAACATCTACACACCATACCATCAATTAACAATCCATGTCTGTAAATATGCTGCCTTTCAGCAGCACTTTATTTATCCATACGTGACAAAAGTAATACAAGTGTACAAATGTGCAATATCTGGTAAAGCAAATCATGCATCAGTTTTATGTACTGGTGTAATTTATGTCAGTGGTGTTATTAGTAAAATAGTTTTACGTTATCAACACCACGGACCGTAAAACCACTGACAGAATTAACTAAATATATAGTGCGCTGTCACTTCAGTTGTCAAGTCATGTGGTATGTACAAAATTAGAATTGCATTCATATTTATATAAAAATTAAAATGGCCTCATTTGGCAGGGGTAATACTATTGGCAGATTTTTTGACACATTTTTCAGAGTTTTTTAAAATATAAAAAGAGATCCCACAAACCTTGCACTCCTCACAGTTAGTTCCTCTTCCTATGAGCTACTCATACAAGAAGTAGTTTAAAAAGATCTTCCCACTGATTTTTTTTTTTAAATGACACTTTTCTATTGTTGCACCACCACTGACAAAAATCATGGGACAAATTTTATTATCAAAATAAAATCATATTTCCGTAGTTAAAAATTATTTTGCTTAGGCCAGACAATAATTTTACTACATTTCTAAATTTTAAACTGTAATGTTTCCTTATTCTAAATCCACAAAGGCGGGGGAGATGAATAATTGTTATTTTTATGATATTTTAAAATATGTTATCAGATTTTTTAGTGGTGCTATCAGTGCTGGAAACGAAATACTTTTTTCCAAATGTTTAAATTTTAAATTGAAAAACAAACAATTTAAATTGTTTCACGTAAAAGTAATACTTTGTCAACTGTGACGTCACTCCTGTGACATGCTGTTTTTATGCACAATATAAGAAAAATCTAAAATAAAAATTCAAGTGGAAAAATTATCATAATTTTTGCTGACTAATATAGGAATATATATATATAGGGCTACATGAGTCACATTACATAAGTAGCCATTTAAGGGATCCGATAAAGTTGTTAGGGGGCCCTGTCGCCACGTTTCCCCCATGCCATGGGCATGCACTGCCGGTAAGTATGCCACTAATACAATGCGATTGATCTAAATATCATAATTGAAAAAGGGGAGCGACAAATGCAAGAACTGAGTTTGGAAAACTTTTTCAACACCCCAAATTCAGTCATTCCAAAGGTTCATTACATGGTTATGGAGCATTACAAAGGTATTAAAGTAAATTGACAAGGACATATAAATAAACCAATAAAGAGATAAAAGACAAAAGAGATAAACATTTCACATCTGGACTATTTATAATTTCACAGAGGAAATAACCACTGCCTGGAACAGATTATATCAATCTGCAGTGAGTGGTAAAGTGTATCCCAGTGCCTTAAAACCAGGTTTAGGCATGTGATATAACCAATGCTTTTACAGGATTGCGGGCATTTGCACTTCCCACTCAGTAATCCCCTCAGCTTTTTGGACTGCCTTAAAATTCAATCTTCCCTATGGGGAAAGTAAGTAATAAAGCAAGTACAGAAAACAAAAAAAGCTTCTTTTGTAACAAAAGAAAGCTTTGAGGAGTGAGGGGGCGGTGCTTACTGTCTTTACGCTGAAAAGAAAAAAAATCATTGAATTACTTGGTTAAAATGTGTACATTGTTTCCACATGAATAAAATTAAACTACCACAAAAATTAGTAAACCGAAAGACAAAATTGTACATCTGTGAATTTATTCATGTGGAAATAAGGTACACATTTGAATCAAGTAAATTTAGTACATCACCCCCCTGATAAATTGTGTACAACCTTTTCGGGGTATACAGTGCACAGAGCCTGAAAACAGCACTGTTTTTTTCCCTTTCTGATGACCTCTCTTCCTGCTCATATGTAAATCTCACAGAATTGTATTTGAGGTGTGACTAACATATTTACTGTACGCCTTTTTGTGTTGCTGGAGTCAATGCCAAGTGTCTTGAAGTGGAAAGTATTGTGTAACTGTAAATGAAGCATGGAAAATTGTGCAAGGACTTAAGTTGTGTAAAACTTCGGGGCGGAGCTGACTGAGGAAAAAAACAAGGTAATAAAAAATCCTCTACAAAGGCATATGAGACAGTATATTCCTAAACCCACTCCCACCTCATTCATATAAAAAATAAACACCTTTCATTCTGACAAGAAGTTAATTCACTTTAGCTTTTCTATTGAGAGCAGTCAATGGTGGGTTCTGTTTTGGTCCATGGCCTGTAAAACATCGGTAAGAAGAGCGCAGAGCAAGGGCAGGGGGGTCTGCTGGGTTGAGACAGTGGGGGTGCGACTGCTTTTACTGCAGCTTAGGAACAGAGCAGTAAAGAGCAGCGAGGATGACTGCAGTAAATGATGGCCGACCCTGCTGTTCTCACTGCCCATGTGTGTGTGTCCATCACTCACAGCCAGCCAGCATGAGGCTACAGCCAGGACTCCTGGGAAAGTATCCATTGCACCCATGTCCTATTATAGCAGTGCCCAGGCGCAAAGCAAAGCAAGATGACTTGCTGCTGGGGGCCATTTGTAAATGGAAAAACTCGAATGGGGGGCTTTCCCCTCCCACTGCCTTGTGACTCTTTTATTGCTCTGAGGTAAATGACCACAGAGAGAGATTAATGAAAGGAGATTTTTTAAAATCCATTCGTGTCCAGAGTGTCCAGACCTAAAGCAGGAAATAGCTGAAGAGGACTCATAAGTTCACTGAAATAATGTGACACTCTTCAAGTGCACAGTGCGCTGTGTTAGTGCAATAACTCAGTGTTAAAACTATGCAGTTTTACAATAATGACTATGTTCCCCTCCGTAGATCTCAAGCAGGGACTAGATACCAACTGCACTGTCCTACCAAAAAAGTGAGTGACACTTATAAGTGAGGCAACAGGCTATTTTTACTCTTGGGCACATGTGCCCCAGCTTAGATACCTGCTAGCCACCACAACAACTCCACAAGAGAATATTTGTTTTTGGTTCAAACATCAGGCCCGTTTAAGTGGAATTACAGCCTTCAAAGATGCTAAAAGGTAAATTTGACTATTAAGGTTGGAGTATCAAAATAGCTTTGGACCATGTTCATTTCATTTGCTTTGTCACTTGACACCAGATGGTTATTTCAATACGTGCACTAGCATAAGACTTCAGCCTATGTCACCCGCTCAACGGACTCACTCCCTGAAGCCACTGCTATTTCAGTGTTTTCTGCCGCTGAATCCTGGCTACTGTCAGCTCTCCAGTGGAGCAGGGGCCTTGGTAGTAACTGTACTTTGCTTCTACTCTTTGTTCCCTTTCAGGAAAGACTGATAACAGGAGTGGTGCTGCAGAGTGAAGTGACAAACTTTTACAGAAGGCCCCCATTTGTGCAGAGATTTGGCTTCCCACAATATGCTATGGATTTTTGCCCACAGTACGCTATGGATGGTGATTACCTTTTGTTTGAAGGATCAGAAACAACTTAACTGCTAAAACATGGAATACAAAGCTAAACGGTAAGAAAAGTGATTACTTTTTTCCCTTTGTGATGCTAGTTTCTTTGCAATTGATGGGTCTTTTATATCTGAACAAAAAATATTGTAAATTGTTGTGAAATAGTTCATTTCAGTAACAATAATAATAATAATAACAATAGTAATAAAACAAGTCATTTTGATTTTTTAATATTTACAAATGCATACATACATTAAAATGAAAAAAGTAGCACAAATAACATGCTTCAGATGTGAATTTACTTCCCATTCATTCTGTAATTATTAAGTATAACTCTTATGCTATTTATAGAGAAAATGCTGTAACATTGTGAAAATGAGTATGCCACTTCCATTTTAAGCATGGCCTCAAGATATCAGGTTTTGTGAGGGAGATAACATAGGATCATTTAGCAAAAATAAACCTGTCCCACAAGAAGCTTAGCACAGATCAATCATAACTACCAGTACCCCAGTGATGCTGAAGAAAGCTTGCAGTGATAGACTTTTCTTTAAAAGCAGTTTTCAGCTGTGTGCTTGATGGCCTTTTATGTTTCGTCCAGAGAAGCAATATGCAAAACTAAAATTGTGTATGTACAATATGCATGCATATATATTTCTTTTTAATTTTTTGCCTATTATTATACAGTTAATTTATTTCTGATGTGCAGTTAATTTTAGTTTCTAAAACAGAAACAGCATAATGCAGAAAATGTAATTTATAATCAGCATGCAGAAATCTTTATTCGTTGTGCTAGATACAAAACCACACTAGTATATTCAATATTCATTCCGTAAATAACCTAACTAGCTGAACATTTTTTTATTTTCACATGACGCGGTTCAGAATGTGATATGGTAGTGCTGGTTTCTGAGTGGGAGCCTAAGCCAGGTGATAAAAGAGGATCAGAAAGTTATTCTGGGCCGTGTATGAAGACTGTCTAGCAGCTGCAAAATTAATGTTAAATGATGATTACATATTTTACTTTTCAGTGTTTTCAATGTTACTGTAAATATAGAAAAAACTGGCATTTTAACAAAATTGTCCAATAATTTCATTAATGTAATTATTTAAACCATCACCACATGCAATCAAAGAAAGATCGATGCTTTGAACATTATGAGTCATGTTAATGTGTATTGCATATTTATGTAACACAAAGGGGTGGGACAGATTACTCAGTATATTTTTATAATGATGTATACTATTTATAATAGTGTTATTTGTCATTAAAATAGCCATCTATATTTCACTAAAATGCAGATATATGGGTAATTTCTGAAATGATCAATTAGGGTACATATGATACAATCAGGAATGATGTTCCATTTCCATTGGATTTTTTCTTTTATTCTAGGCTCTAATAGTTCAACAGTTTTATTTACTTTAAATATATTTTACATGATTTTCTTTTTATCATTTTTTTTATTTAAGTGTAAACTAATTTTACTTTTTGAGTAAATACTAAGAAAAGGAAAATCATCTGTCCAGGTGCAGTGGCGGCCATTTTAATATGTCAGCAGGCAGAGCTGTTCAATATTTGATCCTAGGTTGAAAATGGGAAGCGTCTTCCTACTCTAAAAATAATTCACGTGATGAGCGTTACAGTCTTTCTTGTGCATAGCAACAGTGTGGCTCAGCTAACCAAACATGCATGAAGGTCATATTGAGAGGACAGCTTGTACATGTTTTAGGAGCAGTATAGACAATAATTAGCATGCATTAAAATTCATTAATATTAACTAAAAGCATTAAACATTAAAAAAGTTTGTTAGTATTTCCATGGACATAGTTATATCCTCAGAAAGGAGCGCATATGTGTGAAGGTCTTTTTATTACTGCTAGCTTGCACACACTTTTGACACCATTGTGTGCTTCTGTTGCAGGAAAGAAAGACATTCTGATCACCTTTTGAAAGGTGAACTACTTAAAAGCAAGAACCCATAAGTAACAAATCTCAAAAGACAGATAGGGACAACTGTGTCCTACTCATGTGAGCGAGCGTTTGAAATGAGCTCTCTGGAAAAGCGCCACACAAGCAGGCGGGGAAACATGCATGGCCACCACAAATACTCTGATGGCTTCAGTGACACCTCCAGTGTGGGTAGCTTCATGGACGAGACAGATAGGGAGGTTAGCAACCTCACTGACCGTGCCTTCAGGAGCCTGTGCATTGGAGAGGAGGCCATCTACAATGACTCTGAAATCTCTTCCCCTACTGAACGCCACAAGGCTTTTGCAGAAGAAGTCCAGCAGAAGGAAGTTGTAAAAACCACCTGCCAGGAGACTTTTTCTTATGGTATTCAGTACAGAGAGGCTGAGAGAAAGTCTGAGGTGACCTCAACATTCCAGCATTCCTATGTGGATGTAGCACAAGAGCAGGTTCTCAGAGATGAGCGCATGTCTTATATGAGCAATGGCTCTATGGAGGCAACATGGCAACAGAGGAGAAGCACCTCCAGAGTGTCATCCCTCATCAAGGCCTTCAGCTCAAAGGAGGGTTACTGTGACAGTGGGATTTCTGATGCTGTACTGATAAGAGACAAATACAGGGACTTTAACAATGGGTCATGGGACAAATCAGCTCTGCTAAGCTTTCAGAGAGAACTATCCGAGGTCTCTTCTGCTTACCATCAGAATTTTAAGTCGGGTCCCTTTCAGTCTTACAGGAATCATTTTCATGCATCAGCTGCTGCGGTGTCCCGGATGGACACAACAGCTTCTCTTGTGAAATCCTCAAAAACAAAGTTCCATGCACTGAACTCCACTAATTTTTTCTTCCACAGTGAATTCAGTCCTTTTCAGTTGTGGAAGGATTATAACAGGTTCCCCTTTGAAAGAGAGGAACCTTCAGGGTTTTTGTCAGCCAGTGAGTTTCCTAGGTGGTATGATTCTCCTCTCTACAAAGAACTGACAACCACACAAACATTTTCAAGCGAAGGTAGGCGGTTTAACCGAAAAAAAATTGAGGATGTTGTTCCCACTCAGCGCTCTAGGTCCACAGTAATCCAAAAAGCCTCAGCCATAGAAAAGAGATGCGACTCTGAGATGGCCTCTAATTGTCCCCCATGGAAAAGAAATAATAATTTTGTGAGAAGCAAACTCCCAAGCAATCGGCCCTCCACAGTCTCACCAACCAATGAGAAAGCACATAGGCCTGATTCTAATTTGCTCTCTTATAATAGACATACATATGACATTCAACACAAAGTAGAGAACGTGGGAGGCAATGAGTTATCTAGTAGTTCAACTCCATTCAGTATCACTCAGCTTCTTACACCAGTCATTCATGGGAGACAAGAGACAGAAACATCAGAAATTCTGCAATTTGCACATACGCCCTCTTTTCCTGATTACTCTGTCCAGGGTGATGTTGACCTGAAACCACTGTCTGAAGTCAAACAACTACGTGATAACTACAAATCCAGAGCATCAAGTCTATTGTTCAACCTCAAAGATAACAGAAAACGAGTCAAGAGCACATATAGTCCTTCTAAATTTAAAGGTTTAGAGATAACAGATCGAAATAAGCAGCCCTCAAAGCTAGAGGATCTCGAATCCAGGCTCTCAGATTCTTCAGCATCCCAAGTGACCACACAAGAGCATTCTGCAGTACCCAACGCTTGGGAACTTGACGTAGTCCAGCAAACTTATGATGTCCACCTATCCCAAACTGTTGAACACAAAGAGTATGCTGATGGCTTACATGATATGACATTAGCACATCAGAATGGCGCTGCTAATTACGAGATCTCTTATGGGGGCTCACAGGGTAGCTTTCTCCCCCCATATAAACCTCTGAACAAAGAAAATGAGGAGTATGAGTTCTCACCACGTATGCTTCCAGCACAAAATCAAAGTATAGAAAATTCAGAAGGTCACATTTATGGCCCTAGTGGAACATTTAACCCTACAAGGCCAGAAACAGAAAATATCTATTCAAAAGCACACCCACCAGTGCACTCTCTGTCGGCTCAGATGTCAGAAAAACAGAACTTCAGCAGGAGAGAAGACATGGGACATCGTGACTTTAAAGAGCAACAGAACTTTGTGATGAAACCAAATTTTGGATATACCAAAAATCAGGTGACTGAAGAAAGACTTTCTTGGGAAAACTCTGGACATACAAATATCACAAGTAGGGAAATGTTTAATAATAGTGGAATTAAAGATTCACTACCATTTAAAGGAGAGATAGCTACTTTGATTGAAATGGATAAACAGAGGAAAGCTACTGCTAAGCAATACTTACCTTCGGCCAATGACAGCTACACCGTGGGAAAGGAAACATACATAAATAAAGTGAATGAGAACATTAAACAAGGTAGGCTTGCAAAAGAGGAAGAGGTGCAGGACACAGAATGCTCTTCACAAAAATATCAATATACAAGCAAGCCTGCACAATATAATCCCACAAATACACCTTCAACATCTCAAAATGTTTATGGATTCTACAATAACGGTCTCCACAAAATGACATCGTCTCCCCCCAAAGACTCAAAACTCACCAAAAATTCAGAATTTAGAAGTACGACACATGATGACGTTCGCTTTCAAAGAGATATGAATATGAATAGGTATGCTGCAAGTGATATAACTACTGAAAGAGATTATAGACAGAAAGTACCATGTTCTACTTCACTGGAGGAGAAACATCAAAAGAATGAAGGATCTGTTGCTTATCAGCCATACAAATATGAGCCAAACAAACAGTGGCATATCGCAACAACTGAAAACAGATGCACTATAGATGAAGTGCATTTACCAAGACAACTGCAAACTGAAAAGATATCAGAACAACCAGGTGAAACACATTATCCACACTCTGTGTTGGGGATGCCTGATATTCACCACAAGAACATGACATACACAAAAACAGCTCTCGAGGATCGACTCAGGACTGGAGAGCGCCAGCCAAATGACTCTATGGTTCCCAAACAGATATATCAAACAAAGCATGGAGACATGAAGACAGACATTAAAAAACTAAATATTCAAAATACGGAGCCAAATAATAGCAGTTCACAAGCAAGAGGAGACAAATTTAGCATTAATGACATTCTCTCCATCAGAGACAATGAACAAGCCAAGAGAATTAGAGAAAATAAACACAGTCTCACTGCTAGTGTTAATGACCCTACTAAATTAGAAAATTTAGCTTCTGTAGTTGCATCTGTCGTCGCTGAAGAAAAAGCAGCTGAAACGGATATGTTTAATGTAAAAGAACAACAAACAACAGAAGATCCCACCTCCCGCTGCAAACATGAAAGTGTCTATGGCTACATCAGAAAGGAGTCACATAACCGAAATGAAGGATTAGTAAATATTGATCCAGCCATTAAAGACAAGGCAGGGAAAGAAAGAACACTTTCATACAAAGAAAAAGGCCAAACCAAACAGGAGATACTCACTTCAAAATTGAAAGCACATGCTCAGAAGGAGATATCAGCCATTAAAGAAAAGGGACTTGCTAAACAAGGTATTTTATCAAGAAATCCAATGAAGCAAAGTACGACTGTAAACACTGACAAAGGACACATGAGCCAGGATGTTATGTCACCAAAGAAAGAAATAACTGCAGATAAATTGAATCACCTTTTTCAAGACATCACTTATTCAAGTGTAACCTCATACAAAGAACACAGAAACCAAGACAAGGATGGCCCAAAATGTGAAACTCTCACTGCAGAAGAAATTAAATCACCTACAAGAGCTGTAGGCCCCCGGGCAGAAGTTGCCCTCCCAGAGAAAAATAATGAAGTAGTGAAAGATGCTATGCTTACTACTAATGAGAAAGAAAGGACAACAGTGCAGCCACATACTCAAAGGATACAACTTCAAGATGAAAGGATTACAGTAGTAGACAAGAACACGTGTGAATTTAGCAAGTCCAGCACAGACAGTCAGAAGGAGCAATCTGTAAACAAAACTGTTAACCATGAAACAGTTCCTGCCAAACATCTCTTAAGCTCTCTAGCTATCAAGTCTCCCAATAAAGAGGCATCAGTTGTCAAGACTGAAGAACAAACTTCTAATCTGCCTACAGTGTGCAGTGCAGGCCCTACAGAGCATCCAACATTTTTGGAAAAGGGAATGGACAGTCCAAAATATATCTTTGGGAAAACAACAACTTGCAATTTAACCTCATACAATGATTTAGAGCAAGCTAAACTCCTTGATCTGTCTGTGAACAAAACAGTACAGCCCTCAAAGGTCAAGGTGGATAACCGTACTGCTAGTAGGGTTACAACTCACTTGGAGTGCACTGACCTCGCAGAAACAACCATACTCCCAGTGGAAAATCCACACCAAAGTCAAAGCAATCCTGGAAAAGAAACGCCTATAAAAGAAGTGTACGAAAAGAAGCTTGGGCCAAGTTCAAGACAGGTAAACTCTCCATCAAACTGGACAAGGTTAAAAGCTGAAGCTCTCCCTGTTGAATCAACAGTGAAATCTGCAGATACCAAAGCTGGCCTGCCTACGAAATGTAAGGCATATTCTACAAAAGAAGGGGAACATGGTAAAAGTGGAGATGATATTGTCAGTGATGATATGTCAAATATAAAATTGCCAAAGACTCCAGAAGCCAAAGAAAAAGAAAATCTAGAGTTGTGTGCAAAACAGAATATTAAGGTGCAAATAGACAGCACATGTAAAACAAATGAAACCTCTACTGTCCAGCATCTACAGCATGTTGATGCTCCTAAGGTAAAGACATTTGAAAGTGCATATAGAAACAAAGGAAATCAAACACGATCCAACTCAAATAAGGAGGAAAAAATTAAACCTGTGTCTGCTGAAGTTAAGGAGCAGTCTCTGCTAAAAGAACCTAATCAAAAGAAAGAAGAGAATATGCACTCAGAAAAGGGCGAAGCACTGGAGCTGTCTCAGTCTAAGCAGGAAATCAACAGTACAAACTACCAAACAAACAGCCCAGAGGTGAAGACTGTTGCAGTCACAGCAAGCAGCGATCAGCAACTTCAACAAGACGGTGACGGACCACCAGGCAGTGAAAATCAGGCCCAAAATGAAAAGGACCTCCATGAACGGAAAGAAATTGCATCTGAAGAAATTAAACAGTCCAAAGACAAGAGTATAGTAAACGAAAATGACTCAAGCCCCACAGGTGCTGAATATGAGATGTCACCAGAGAAGCCCCACACAGTAAATGTTACAGTAAATAATAAAGATAAACAGCCGAATAACCAGACTATACAAGACAAGAGTTCTGACATCATCAATCCTGTGCCTGAAAGCCATGTCATTCATATTCCTAGCAACGAGGACAATACATCTGTGGATGAGCCTGTAATATACAGTATACGTGTATCAAGCAAATCAGATGCTGTTTCAGAGGATGAACCTGTAATCTATACCATTTGCGTTTCAAGCCTATCTGGTAATTCACTGACAGATGTTCCTGTTAATCAAGAGAAAAGCAGTTTTGCTCAAAAACAGCTATCAACAGAGGGAGCAGAGAAAGAAGAAGAAACATCTGGCCGTAAAAATGAGGAAACAAAAACAGAAGAAACTGACTATCATGAAAGTAAAGCGAGTGATGATAAAAAGATCAAAGGATTGTTTGATACTGATAAGGCAGAGAAAGAAACCATGGTAAGAAAGTGCGACTCTCCTGCTACAAAAGATAAACAAGATTATCATAGATCAAGTGAGGTGAACAATATTAGTTCATCGTATGAGAGCCTTTTGGTCAAATATGGGCTTGTCGTTACAGAGAATATTAATCTCAAACCAGAGCAAAAAGAACAGGATAAATTGCAAGGAAAAGAAACTGAAATATATACAAATAACCTCTCCGAAAATGTACAGAAAAACTCAATGGATAATGACTGTGCATCTACAGAGACAGTAAATACTGATGTCTCTGGACGACTTGGTCAAGAATCAAGAAAGCCTAAGCCTCTGGAAGTAGTCACTGAACTTTTAGAGGACGATAGAGAAAACGACCAATATATTTCTCACTCAGTGACAGATATTGGAGGACTGACAAAAACAGCTGCTGGAGTCATGGCACTTTCTGATAAAGACACAAAAGATAAAAAGCAGTTCACTCCTGAAAATTGCAAACTACAAAATGAACCGGGTATTACAGAAAAACAAAAGGCACCAATATCAGAGGTCATGCCAAATTGCGAAGAGAATCAGAATACTCGGCTTACTGTTGCTTCAAAGCAGTACAGTGCAAAAAATGACAGTGTTGAACTAAAAGGCAATATGCAAGTTGGACAGAAAGTGCAAGCAGGGGATTTTGCAAGAGAGAAAGGACAGAAAGAGAAAGAAAGTGACAAAGTACTTAACAAAAATGCCGACACTGTACTAGTGGAAAGTGAGAGTGATAATCAAAATATCAGCCATCCTGCAGCTGAAATTAGTTATACAATCACAAGTAACAACACTACTGTAATTGGCAGCCCCTCACAGAAAGATTCAGCCCCAACTAATTCTAAAACCGCTGAAACAGTTACAGAAGACAGTAAAGTTTGTGAAACTATGGATAAAGAAGTGGCCCAGACTTACTCCTGCAACAGTGTTTCAACACAAGACACAGAAGTATATTTATATAAGCGCAAACCTGACATACCACCAGTTCAAAACAATCAAAAGGCAATTACTGAAACAGTTAATGCAGTTAAACCAGAGACACTAAGTAAAGAACCTGCTCCAACCAAAGACAGCAAAGTTTCACAAAACAGAAAAGAGTTTGTCTGGAAAAATGAATTCTCAGAAAAGGAGCAAGACAAATTCAAGACAAGCAATGAAACAAAGGACAGAAAGGAGATTGGAATTACTGCCTTTAGTAGTAAACAGATAGTCAAAGAGAACTATAGTATTAGTGAGGATCCACTCAATAAAGCCTCTAATGTCGTGAAGATGGACCAGAGTCTATTTAAAACCCCAAATGCTCCCTTAGAAGACAAAAAAGTGAATAAACATGAACTCAAAGTAAACAAAGACATTGTCACAGTGCAAGACAACCTAAATGATCAACAGGAACAAATTAAGACAGATAGTGCAAGTGCCAAAGATGTGCTATCTAGGAATGCAATTTCTCAAAACACAGCATCTCAAAAAGTCACAGGACAGAAATCTCTGTCTACTATGGGCACTACAGAGGATGGTTCAAAAAGACTTGAAATTCAGAAAGGAAAATTAGAACTGGCACCAAGTCAGAAAGCAAGTATGAAAAATGAAGTCACAACAGTGAATAAGGATAATGCCAAGAAAACATTAGATTCGGTTAAAGTTGAGAAAGATATTGAAGGTGAATCAAATAAGGGTGACATGAATCTAAAGGAGGGAACAGCTCAACCCACAAGACAAAGATGAAGTCACAATTGACAGAGTTAGAAAAGATGATGGGCAAACAAAAAGTAAGGTTGGTTCTGTGATGGTTAAAGATAGCAGTGGTAGTATTAGAAAGGATGTTGCAAGCAGTGAAGAAGTTTTACGAGTCAAACATGATGATCGCACTAATGTTTACCAGTATCATCCAGGGAAAGGTTTTCTGCCAGAAACAAAAGAAAGTCTATATGATGAACAAAGCACTGTTGGATCCAGTCAGCATGATTCAGCTTTTAAGAAGAAAGAGAGTACTTCCCGCAAGCCAGAGGTTACAAAGAGGGATAAGAAAACAACTAGGCCAGAGATTTCAGCTTTAGCAGACTATGCCAGACTGAGAGTTATCTCTGCTGAAGATGACAGCACTAGTGAAAAAGACTTACTTGAAAAAATTGACACCTATCACAAGTATAATTTATTAGCTTTGGCACCACAGAAAGGTGTAGAAGGGAATCTGTCTATGTCTGTAGGTGGTACAGAGCCAAAGAGAGAGTTGGCTGGGAAGAAGAACTATGAGAGTCAGACAACAAAGTCATTTCAAGCCCATGAAAGAGATAGGCCTGTATTTCAAAGAAGCAAAATTACTGAGGGAATACTTGAGGGACATGATCAATACACATCTAGAGATGAAACTGTTCCTCAGCCAAAACTCTCTTCATTGACTAAAAGGTCAGATGATAGAGTATTTGCTGTTAAAGAACCAGAAAGTACTAAAGAGAAAAGATTAACAAACCAAATTCAATCAGATACTAAAACGTCTTCGACTGAACGACACTGTGGATACCAAAGAAGTCATGAAATTCATCAGACACCGAATCCACAAGTTCAGGGCAAGAACACTCAAGTTGAGGGCAAGAACGTTGACTCAGCCATGTTAAGACAACCGGTTCATGCTAAATGTCTGGGAAAAGAAATTTACCCTCATATGAAAAAACAGGATTCCCTACCACAAGTGTCAATGGGAAGCGTACTTAATAAAGCAAATAAGCAAGCAGACAGCCAAAATACAGTGCAACCAGAAATAAATGAGGGAGAGAAGGTGGAGGAGCTCGAATACTACACTGTCAGTACCACAAAAATTGAACCAAAACCAAAAGAAATACATGAAACAATGCCGTTCAGCGACAGAATAACTTCAAAGAAAGAGGTAACTGAAATTCCTACAGCACGGCCACGATCCAACTCGTGCTCTCCAGCCATGGGGAAACCCACCATGTTCAGAGTGAAAGATAACACCATCAGAACATCCTCTGTTTCTAGAGCTGATAAGCCACGATTTCACAGATCATTCTCTGAAGATTTCAGGATTGGCTCCCCAAAAGAGATCTGGAGAAGTTCAGAGAAGTGTGAGCTTGAGCATGGTCACGAGCACGATGCAAAAGAATCTGCAAACCCTTCGGTCTTGCATGAACCAGCAGTGGCTTCACATCGACTTCCTAGAGCGAGAGAGGTCCAGTCCCAAAACAGTTTGTCCTCGGAGTTCACAGCTGCAAAAGAACCAAGAAGCTACCGAAGATGGAGTCAAGTATTTGACGATGATGAAACTCGGTCTGTTGTCAGCACATTGTCAGAGGATGTAGAGAGTTTTGCAGGTAGTTCTGTAGTTATGAAAGAGAATACATCACATGTTTTTGAGAGGAAAGGTAACAGAGATACCTATGTGAGGCCAGAATCAGCTTGCTATACAAGGCCAGAGTCAGCTTGTTATGAAAGGCCAGAATCAGTTTGCTATGAAAGGCCGGAATCAGCCTGTAGTGACGTGAGATCACTGGGCAAACCACCTGCTGTTCCTCCAAAAAGTGAGAAGGCTCTTCGACGTGCTAAGAAGCTTACTACTCGGAGAATCCAAAAGGCAGAGGCCAAGTTGACCTCTGATAGCCAAGGACAGCTTGAGACCAAGTCCCTCCGAGCTGTCTCCAGTTTGCCCTCTTCACCTATGGAGCTGTTGTCGACACATCATGCAGTACATCCCTCACCTCCCATATCCCACTACCATGTTGAACCAAGTTATGCACCTCCTGCTCCTAGCCTCATGGCCCATCCTTTCCCAATGACCCAGAGAAAACTTTTACAAGATCCAAACTCAGGGCAGTACTTCATGGTGGACATGCCAGTGCAGGTCAAGACAAAGACTTTTTTTGACCCTGAAACAGGTAAATATGTCCAGCTCAATGTGCGCCAGAGGACCCAGGGCACCATTTCACAGCCACAGCCTGTGTTGAATCACTCATATGTAGTGTACCCTGGTTTTCTGCCCATGTCAGTCTCATCCTTACCCTCCATGAGGTCGTCATCCCAAATGTCAGCACCAGCCACTGTTGTGGAGGAACAGAATAAGCTAGAAGCAAGCAGGGATCCCTGGAGATCGGAGACTTATCAGCCAAATTACCACAAAAACGCCCAAGAGTACAACGAAGCTGTGCCTGGGACACATGAAAACTCTGGCAGGGAATCTGTATACACTGACAATAATGTCAACGTTGCTTCAAGACATACAGATATCATAACAATGAGTGAATTAGAGGACTTTGCTATGGAGAGCACATGACTGATGTTGACCGGCTAGTCTTTTCTAAAGTAAACACTGTATTTTTATCTTTACAGAAATCTGAAAATATGAATGTATATCTGACATATTTGAATAAGAACCTATTTAAGGGTTCATTAAGTACATTTTTGCTGTTTGATGTAGATTTTTAAGGCTTGCTTTTAAACTGCAACGATTTTTTTTCATTTGCAATCTATAGCTATAGGAAAAGCAGGGCTATTTATTGTAAGACAGTGTTAAGGACATATCTGTGAAGCATTCCATTTTAAATGTGTTTTGAAAAATAGTTTAGCAGTGTACGTATATTTTATCTCACAGTGGGCAAGTTTCAACAACTAGCCTCAATTGCACTGCCTGGACTCATAGCACCACCAAAGGAGGGTAAGACTTCCATTATGGAGGAAATGGGATGATAATCTCCCAGGAATTTACCTTTAGCATTAAATATCATAAACACTTAAATGTTTTGTAAATGTAAGTAAAAACGGCTTTTGTTTCCACTGTACAGTTCATGGTGACTGGAACTGAAACTGCTTAACAATCGTCATCTTGATGGCCAGATTTTTAAACCCCCTAACAAATGAATGTGCACAAACTGCATTAAAAAAAAGAAGATTTGGTCAAAATGATTACAGTGAGACTCTCCCCACCCACGCAGTTAATTGACTGTTAGATAGAATGAAATAACTCTTCTTGTGTTTTAGCAGAGTTATATATTTACATGTGAGTGAAAATCAGAAGACGTATCCTGTATGACCATGTTCATACCTTTTAAAGCAATTAATATTTGTAAATTATGGCTTTTGTGGATTTTTTTCAAGTCTTTCAGAAGGAAATGCAGTACCAGGTTATTAAAGACAGAAATGAATGTCAAGTGTGTTTGCTGAGTACCTTTTTTCTTTGCAAGGGCACTGATTTTATTCATTACAGCCTTAAAGATGAAGCACTGCCTTTTGTCTGTCTTATCTTCTTCCTTTCAGAGGTTTAACATCTTAATTCTTCACATCTATTACTGACTTAATTTGCTTCCAGTTAAAGTATGTGCACAACAGACCACTCTAGTGGTCTCTGGTAGTATTGTAACCTGTTATGCCATGGTGGTATATGGTATTACAAGTGGAAATTAATTCTATTAAAATATTGACCCATGAATCAAATGAAATTTTGTTAAACAATATATTACCCTCAAATGTTATTTAAGAATGAGTTCTTATATTAAGACAGGTAATCTGACCACTTCTACCATGCATCTGTTTAAATTATTTAATGTCTAGCATGTATCTCACTGAAAATTAGCAATATACTGCCTGTTATTACAAAGTATGAAAAACTATAGGGCCTTCTCTTATTCTGTTATTGTATCTGTAAAAAAAGCATGCCAGGTCACCATTAGATTTTTTTGTCTGAGAAAGTTATGGGGAACCATTAGAGCACTGTCAGATGCATTAACAAATACCCTGTCAGTATTATCTTTACCACAGATGAACCAAATTGATTGAGTTATTGATCTTCTAATGCAGGTATGAGCAGCTGTGATGCATACATGCTGCCCTTATCATGGCCTGTGCAGCAGGCGTACATCTCCAAACAGGCAGTTCTCCAGAGTTTGGATATAGCTTCACTGACAATGTATCATTAATGGAACAAAAGAACCCATTAACGTCACTGAAACAGAATTTGAAACAAATGATTTGTGTTATCATTTTTTCTAGGTTTGCTTGGCTACTCTCCAGCTAATTTGATATAACAATGCTTCTCATAATAGAATGAATTACTGCTGGAATGTATGTAATGGCACTGAATAATCAATAATCCACATGGACATTTCAGTGTTACTAAGACCTCCCTTCAAATGTAGCTTACTAAACAACTTGATTGTTTAAACCATCGCGACCCATTTGTCTCAACACTGTAATAACTCATTTTGAAAATTGATTATTAACAAGACATTTTCCTAAAATTGTTCCTTTCTCAAAGACATACAGTGGAGTTTCTCAAAGAAACAGCACCAGTTCCCTCTAAACAGTGCTCTGTTATTGTGTGTCACAGTGCAAAGTTGAACTTTGAATTGAGGTAGATAGTCTGATGTTCTGAGGACCAGCAAAACTTAACCACACAACAGTTTATAAACTTAGAACTTTAACTCTGACACACTAATCAGACTACCTTCCAAACTTGATATTATTGATATATTCATATATTTATAGTTTTTTTTTATGTGCCTGAATTATGACTTTCCTCCATCCTTCTCTTTGTGAGAGTCTGTGATGCCATCAATCTTATGTCAAAGGTGAAACTTTTGCTGTGAATGTTTAGATTTATAGAATAATAAATTGTCAATCTTCTAATGTTATATAAAATGATCAGAGCTCTAAAGTGATGCCAACATTAGATGTTTATTATCACTGCTTACACCGGTTATCTGTTTGGCTGCACGAGATGGATTATTATCCTAAATGAAAGTCTGTCTTCTTCATTTAAACATTGAGCTCACGTGCAGACATTCACGTACACTTTCATGAAACTACGAAAATGTGTTCTTCTGAAAAGCATAAAGCAGACTATGTTCTGCCACAAGGCAGCACTTCTGACATTATCTGGCTCTGCCATGTCGGTAGGGTGTCGCATTATGAATTATTAAAACAGTACTTTGTGATGATACATAATTCCATATCAATTATTCATGCTAATGTGTGTGTAGTTTGCTTAATTGTGTTATTGACTATCAAAAGTAATTTCCTGAAAATCCTCAAGGACATAAATTTAATCAATTTAAGTCCTTTTCATATGCAGTCCTATTAAGTGTTGTACATCCATGTGTCTGACCTGTAAATTACGCGCTTTTCCACAAAATTCTACAAGCTTATGAAGGTTGATATGTCTACTCATCACTTAGAGGAAATAATCTACAAAAAAGGATGATATTAATAAAACAGCATGCGTTTTTTTGTGTAGCAGCGCATTAACTTTGACACTTCATTGATGTATCGGCTTGTATTCTGGCTGACTCCTTAAAAGGAACGCTAGAATTTAGTTTTATCTTACGAACGTCAGTCGCATGAGCCATTTTTCATTAGACCATACTGACATATAAAAACTTGGACTACTTTCCGTTCTAAGACTGATCCTGGCTGTCATAGTTTCTTGGAAATGAAGACAACCATAGCACTTCATTTTAGTAGACAAACCCCGCAAATGTACGCTGTTAGAGAACATTCCTAGCTCTGCAGCACACTTGGACACTGTGAGAAATAAAGGCACTGTGCAGGTACATTTTTGTTCAAGGTACAAACAATGTAAATGTACCCTCAAAAGTACAACAGTGGTTTTAAGGTCCAATTGTGTACCTTAAATAGGTTTTTCTTAGTAGAAAAGAACATTTTTGTATTTTTAGAACCTAAAGTTTTAAAACAGAACAATAAAATAAAAAGCCTGGAGACGAGACGGGTTGTGGAGTCAATACAACTAAGAAAATATAATTTCATTGGATTATGATACAATTATGTTCCCTGAATGAAGGTACTGAGATGTACCCTTGAGGGTACCGCCACAGTGACAAGAGGGGTACTGCCGCAGTGACAGTTTCATAGCTTTTTTTCTGAGAGTGTATATTAAAGCACACCAATTCATCTATCCATATCCTTGTCTGCAGCATCATCCAAGCCACTTTATGGGTGGTTCAGCGCATATCAGATCTAATCTACACAATCCAAATTAGCATCATCTCAGTCTCAGTTCGGAACACAGCGTAACTTGGCCATGCATCAAGTGAGAAAGAGTCAGTGGTGTATGTTAAACTAAATAAATAATAAGACTAACCATCCACTTTTCAGCAGTACCTTTTGTATAGGGGGAAGTCAATTAATAATTGATCACAGCCAGATGGTGTGAGCAATAGGCAACAGGAGATGTACATGAATGCCTACATGTTTAATTGCTTTAAAGAGCGTGTCAAAACAGGACCAGAGTGAGAACGCTCGCAGTCTATCATTGCCTTGCAGATGTGATGACAAGAAGCATGTCACATACTGTATACTATTATCACATCATCATGACCGGTGAGACTGACATTGCCTATCCAGAACGTATGCCGAGTCAACACAACACAATAGATATACATGTGCATATTATTTCACATTGGGTCATTTATATTTGTGCATGGTATACTTTTACATTAAGAAATTGTTCTTGACACAATGCAGTTTCTAACATCACCTGACTTCACAGTATACAAGGCAGTATAAGCCCTACATCAAAGTGGTTGGAAAAATATGAATTCACATTGGCAGCCAGGGTAAACTCTTCCCCTACACAGTGCATTCAGTGTCCTCTACCATCAAAAACCAGTTACAGTGGCATACGTATATGAGCAAACATATCAGTCATAATAATGAACAAAATTTAACAATAATAGATAAATTACAATTGAATAAATAGTTTGATGCACAAACACTCAAAGTATACAGCAGTAGAATGCACTGAACACCTCGTCCTCTGTTGTATGTCAGTGCATGTGAGGAAAGGGGCAGCAGGCATTCTTTATAAGATTGTAAATCCTTATGTCGGGACAAAATGTGCTTTCTGGGCAAAAGGGCTCCCTTATTTTTTATCCGGGCCTTCCTTGGGGCAATGCAGCTGCTTGTCAGGGGAAGTTCCCCGGTTTGGGACCTTTGAGGAACTAGAGCCAGGACTGGAGTCTCCCCCTCCAACAGCGCTGGGGCTTTGACCCAGGCCAGCTGCTCCTGCCACATGCAGGTTAGCTGACTGCAGCAAAGCCTCAGAGTGTTCCCTGGCCTTCATGCGCAGCGCTGCCACACTGGCCGTCCGGTTACTCTGGCACCCATAAGGAGGCAAGAAGGACAGGCCCATTGGGTCCGGCACACAGCAAGAGCACAGAGGGCTTCCTGCTGGAAAATACAATAATAAGATTTATATAAGGCAAAGGTAGATACAGTTTATGACCTCCATGCTAGGTTTACTAAGGTGGTAATTCATCCCACTCTACTCCTATCTATTGCTTTTATTACATGGTGATAACATTTTCAGCCCCTTTTTTAAAGAAATGCAGCTGTCATAGGATTAGAAAGTCTGTTAGCTTGAACTTAGGAATTTGTCCGTGTAGCTTTGATTAAACCATATTATGTGAAAACCTTAACAAAGAAACTAAATCAATATCATTTCTCTTTCAGTACAAAGTTTAAAATAAAGGACATGCTAATACACAATATTACAATATAGTAATAGTTTCCATAGGATATAATTATATATATAATATATAATATATATATATATATATATATATATATATATATATAAAATAATATATATATATAAATAAATATATAATTTTTTTTGATTGGTCAGACAGTGTGTCCTATCTACGCATTATGTTAAATGAATGTAATACCAAAAAGATATTGCTTTGAAAAATTACTATTTGAAAAAAGTTACCTTTTAAAGTTGCCACTTGTGACAAAGCTTGGGCATATGTGGCAGTGTTCAGAAGAGTCCCAGGCAAACAGGATGGGAAAAAAGGCCCTCCAGGACCAACCGCCCTGTTAATACTGAGAAATGTGCAAGAAAGAAAGCGCACAGAATTATACCTCTGAATACATATATGCATAAGCAATTGTATACATCATTGTAACAGATGATAAACGCACTTTTGTTGTGCTTCCAGAGGTTCTTTTTTGTTTCTGCTTTGATCCACAGGGGACTGGCTGAGGTTTCTAGCAGGAGCAGTCCCTTCACTCATCTGCTCCTTACCGCCCTCCTGATCTGAGCTGCCTCGTTCTGTTTTCCTCCACTTTGCTCTTCGGTTCTGAAACCACACCTGGACAGAAAGTGTTGGATTCATGAGCATCACCATGAAAGACATGTAGAGGTAAACAGGTTGTGTTAAACTCCTTCTTTCGGTGTAAAAAAAATGCCATTCCAGAGGCTCTACAGCACAACAATGGCATTAGTGTGTTCATGTAGTCAGATATAAAATCCACTGCTGTATTTATTTATTTTTTCATACACAATTTCTTCATCTTTCGCTGTGCTGGCTCTTAAGCACCAGCCAGCAGTACCTCCCACGAGTGGACGGCGACTTATTTCAAACTTCATGAACACAATTGCTGAGCATATGCACCCAAGTTCTTGTATCTTAATTGAATGAAGGTCATTGCCTATAACAACATTTAATTGAGCAATTTTTCATTATCATTTTTTAATGACTTCCTACTGACAGTCTCCCTGCTTCTGAGAGAGTGCCATGATGAAGTCGTTTATTTCCCTATTTAGTGATTGTTTGACAACATCAGATTCGATTAAGTCTGTGCTCTCTAACGCATTAATCATATTTGAATAGGAAAGGGGGCATAATGGAGTCATATCTCCGCTGCCTGGCCGGCATTGTGCAAAGGTACAATGATGTCAACAGACAAACAAAAAGCCCAACACAAGCCCTACACATATAGCATTCACTCAGCATAATGGGAGACAACAGTTTACTGGCAGGACAACAATATTCCGAATGTAATTGTGGCAACATTATCTCACCCTTGCACCTTCCAGCTAGAAGTCATGATCCCCCAGCACTGAATGGTCTATAATTGCACCATTAATCTCAATTTGCAGTTTGTTCTTAATGCAACCAAAGCCAATTGACACTTTCAAAAAGGGAGGGGGGGAGGAGGGCGCCTACAATGCTACAACAAAGAGAAAATTTATTCCCTAATAATAATGTAAGTTTAATATCCCTGCATGCTGCAACTGATTCATGTTCAGATTTAATAATACGAATGTGGTAATCCGATTAGAGTGAAATAATTTGTTTACCATCCCTAATTTACAGCAGCGAATTCCATTAGCGCTTTGCAGCCATTGGTTTTAAGCGATAGTAAGATGACCCTGGGGAACTAAAGGCAAACTATTATATTTCTCACAATTAGATCTGCGCTCACAAGGAAACCCAAAAGCGAATCTGGAATGCAGGAAATTACACACAGGACACGCTGGATTTAATTACGCGCGGGCAAATTTATAATATCACCGGCGTTCGCGAAGCTGCAAAATACAAACAGAGACATTTCAGGTGCTGGCGAGGCTGAGAGGACATTTGGCTCTGAGCTGGACATTTATAGGCCGCCTTTCCCACAGCGCTCCACAGCAATGCATCCTCTGTGTTATTTTTTTCTGAAGCCCAGAAATGGAAAAAAAGGCATCTAAGTAATTTTTATACCTTAGAGACGCGCGCAAATGAGTGGAGAACATTATCGCTAGTTAATTATGAATGACCGATTAATCAACCTAATCTAATATTCCGCATTATGTTGATGTTATTAAAGTGCACCGCGGAAATGACAGAGTGGCTCTGGCCCGCCGGGCTGGGGGCGCAGTGTAGCTCGGGGCAGGAGGGGGGCAGTGAGAGGGGTCGTCGGGGGGGCGGGGGTCTTTACCTGGACCCGGGCCTCCGTCAGGTTGATTTTCATAGCTAGCTCTTCTCTTGTAAACACATCCGGATAGTGAGTTTGGGCGAACACGGCTTCCAGAGCTTCCAGCTGCAAATACAAAAAAATAATACACACTAACTTTTCGTTTTTCGTTTGTTTTTCCTTTAATGAAGAATAATCATTCCATATTTTCCAAAAGGCTACATGAGCTGTAACAGTCGAATTGTGTCCTTTAGAAATATGCAGACTGTAAAGTGAGCTCAGTCTACCTGCTGTAAAGTGAGCTCAGTCTACCTGCTGTAAAGTGAGTTCAGTCTACCTGCTGTAAAGTGAGCTCAGTCTACCTGCTGTAAAGTGAGTCTACCTGCTGTAAAGTGAGCTCAGTCTACCTGCTGTAAAGTGAGTTCAGTCTACCTGCTGTAAAGTGAGTTCAGTCTACCTGCTGTAAAGTGAGCTCAGTCTACCTGCTGTAAAGTGAAGGTGGTTCTGTTCCTCCGCTGTTTCCTCCGAAGAAAACCATCATCGAAGTCTCCAGAGGAGTGATTCCCAAAGCCGTTCGTGTTCACTGAAATTGCAGTTCGGATTTGATTTACAATCGTAATTTAAAAACAGAACATTTCCAGTCTTTGAAATCAGATTAGTCATTTAACAGTTGTTCTCGGGCTCGTGTTTAAAGTTTCATTCCTCCAGCGGCTTTCCCCGCAGGACTGATGATTTTAGATGGGTGAGTTGGGGGGTGGGGGGATTTAGGATGAGTTGCTGAATTGGGGAATGAGGAGATGGAGCACTGAAAGGCTCCACATGAACCATCTGAGCCCAACAATAAAGCCACGGCTCCAGGGCAAGAGTGGCTCTCACTAACGCGCTGGCCAAAATGTTAGAAAAAAAACCTCTCGGTTCTCACGAAATATGCTGTTCGGCCTGGTTCTCGAAGAAATGCACTGAAATAATTTATTTTGTTTTCATTTTTTGTTTTCTTTTCCTTTTTTCGGTTTATGCTGCATGAAGATTAAATTTAATCAAGATTTTTAAATGTGAGGATCGTACATACATAAATAAATTTACAGCAACACTGTAATTGAGGGTTATTTTTTCCAGCAATATTAAGGCCAGCTAATAATCAAAACCGTAAAACAGTTAAACAGTTAAAATGATTTTCATGCCAGTCCGTGTAGAGCAGAAAAAGTACTTACATGAGTTTGTCCTGCAGCACTCGCCCTCCAGCTGAGGAGGACAGTGGAAGTAAAACATGCTGCTGCTCCTCTGGGCTTTACTGGACAAATTCAGAATTGGAGTATTTGGCGATGCTGCGTTCTGACAAATAATAAAAAAATAGCCCACAGTCAACATTTTACTGTTACTGTCTCATTTTAAATGATTACATATGCGGCCTTAGAAACGAACCTTGAGAACATCTCTGGAACCAGCCGAATGATTAAAAAAGTAAATTCCTTAAAATTCCTTAAAACTTAAAACACTTGACAAGAAACGCTGTTCCATATGTCCATCAGATTTGGTCTCAAATCCAGTCTAATACACTTTATCGAACTCGTCAAGCACTACTGAAAACATTATAAACTGGATGAGGCGGGATTAGGGTTAGAACTGAGCTCCGCATTTAGGTATGATGGTATATCAGGTCATATGGGACAATTACATATTTATATGTGACCAAAGTCAGAGTGACAGATCTGAATAATAAAGGCATAACTTTGTAAATTCAGTTCCTTTACTCCCAACATTTAGAAATAACACAGAGGGAGTTCAGCTGAAATGGGAATAAGTTTTAAAGTGTCCTCTGTCACACTCCCACAGTACTTAACTCTGTCCTGCTCAGATGAGAATGAATGAATGTTCCTACCTCCAGGAGTTGTGGAGTGTCCTGTGATGAAGAGCTCGTGAGAATAGGAGTCCCTCCCGTCCTGTCTTCGGATTTCTGTCAGTCCTGGAGTCCTTCTCTTTTACTCTCTGTGTCCTCCTCCCTGCTCCCCCCCTGACGCTCCCACACGAGGAGGGAGTGTCCGGATGTCTTTGCCCACAGAACGTTTCAGGCTCGCGCCACTTGCCTTTATAATCTCCCGCGTAATTGGCCTTAATCCGATTAGGTGCTGTTGTGGTTGGGGCAGATCCGCCCGCTCGCGCACACGTGGTGCTCAACGTCAAACTCTCAGCGGCGTGGCTGCGCTGTGCACCTCCACTGCCTCTCCGCTGCCTCTCCGCTGCCTCTCCACTGCCTCTCCACTGCTGCTCCGCTGCCCGGTGGGCTGCACCCTTATTCCCAAACCAGAAACACGCGCGTGCTGCCGCTTTGTTTTTTTTTTAATTCTCCTCAGTATCTTTTTATATTAAAAATCCAGATGACTGTTTTTGGATTTTAAATTGGCTGTCAGAGCAGTAATTGCTCCTTATATGGGTTAAGGGTCCACTTTACGCGGGGATCCACTTGCTGAGCGCTCGTCCGTCCGCGGTTTTGATTTTGTTCACAGCACGGGGTCCGAGGATTTATTCAGCTTTGCTGCCTAAATGACCTGCAGCGGGACCCTTTCAATTAGTTTCAGCGCGCACGGGGGAGCGGCGCAGCGCGCGCAGACGCGCAGAATGAGGCTCTGAGTAGCAGCTGAAATTTCCGAGTGGAGGGCGGGATTGGCTGAAATCACATAAAGGGCAAAAAAAGAAGCGGCTCGGCGCCTAATTGGCTCTGTAACAGCATTACAGGCGGCTAATGGCCTGTTAGAGGCCCTGCACGATCAAGCGCTTCCCCCGCGTAAAACGCTTACGATATTAAGGGGGGAATATAATGATATTTTGGTTATTAAATGCGTGTAATTAATTTATGCACCGCTGAAAATAAAGTTGGTATTATGACCTCGGCAGAAAGCATTGGCAAACTGAAATCAAATAACTCTTTACAACTTTAAGGCGGTGTTTTATGTGTTTATTTTGTAAGTCGTCCTTTTGAAATAATGTTAAAATAGCATTACAACTGCCAGTAACTGGCACTTCGCTCTCAGTAGTTACACTACTGGCACGTGTGTTTTAATAATAATAATAATAATAATAATAACAATAATAATAATAATAATAATAATGACTATTATTAATCATTGATAATATTTATTGTTATTATTACTATGATTAATGTAAGCCTCGCGGATTATGCTCTGTCCTGTCCCCTTAATGTTGTCATTAAATAAACTAGAATACTTTTCAGTCTATAGTCCAAACACATTCGTCCAGCAAGCCAGCCTTTTTGAAGACTTTTTAAAAACTTCTTAATACATTGTCGTATTTGTTTTCGAGACAATAACACGACAGCAATGATGCATTTGTTCTAAAATTAAAACTTTTAATATCAGCAGAAGTGACTTTCAGCACCGCGGTCAGCGTCTTTAACAGCAGTGTTGACCAGCCCAGCAGCATTCAGGGATTTGTAACTTGCGTGGTCTTGGCTCCTGCTGTCTAAAAGCCCACCTTAATCTAAGAGCAATCTGACCTCATTATTGTAATATTCTGATTGTAAATTAATATATGGTTATTAAACTCACTGGTGAGCTCAGCTATCACTGACAGAAAATGTCTACATTCTACAAATTATCTCTAAGCAAAAGTGAAGGGTGGTTAAGGATTCACACAAAATAGAGCGAAAAATCAAAACGTTTTTATCTGTCAATTAAAACAGTGAGTTAACCAGAAAAGTAGTCCAATGAGATTACACAGCACTAATTTAATTTTTCATAATGCTTTCATAAAAATTGAGAATGGTATGGAGTATGACATTACCCACATGAGACAGTCACTCATAACAGACTGAAACACACACACATTCTATGGCCAGTCAAATCAGGTATCATGGTGAAATCAACATCTCACATAGTCTTTAAGAACCATAGCCTAGCTGAGCAATGTTCACATGTGGAGAAAAAGTGTACTGTTGCTCTCAGAACAAAACCTTGTATCTCAATTTTTGTCATTTTCACTTTCTTACTATGAAAAAGTTGGCTGTCCTTTATACTGAGTGAACATTACATGAAAAATGGACCAATAGAAATGCTTCATTTTGGGTGAGAAATTGGGTGAGTAATCTATTCATATTAACTTGCCTTAAATGTTAAGAATGTTTCTCTTTCTACTGTAAAAATAGCATTTTGGAGATGAGAGGTTTTTATCTGACAGATACGGAAAAATATGAATATGTGCAAAAAATGTAGTGTTTGCATTTGGAAGATCAGAAGATAATCTTACAATATTAAGGAGGTAACATTACATTTTCCATGTTCTACAAAAATATCCAACAGCCATGAGCATACATTAGGTAACATTTGGCTGGTATGTGGACTTCCTATTGGCTTGTAAATCCAAGCCCTGTCAACACTTCTCCATAAACAGGTAGAAGATTTCAGGTAGATACTTGTATATTGTTGTAACCAATCCTTGGAATGTTTACAAACTACTTAGTCAGTAAACAGCGATGGTGGTATTACTTGTACACATCTGTACAAAACATAAATATGCCTTGCCACACAAAAAGGCAATACAGATTTGAATTACTCATTCAAAGCTGTGAGTCTAAAAAAAATAATAAGTTACAATCACAGTTGTAGGCTGGCATTGTCTCCCTGAATGACATTTCTTTACAGTTATACAGAGCAAATGGAGCATATAGAGATCAAGTAAATTCCAGGTTTAACACAAAAACAAATGAATGTGCAAAAGAACAGAAACAAAAATAAATCAACAATCTCCCTTTATATACAGGGTCGGTAATCAAGTTTGAATCTTGCAATTCCGTATAAAGGAGTGATGTCGACTGAACTATACGACCACAATTTATCTGCACCTTTTTGTCATTACACTACGTCTACACACATACTAAACATTAACCTTTCCATTAAAAATAACTGCATTCAAACCAACTGCTGTGTGCAGGCATACCACAAACGGTAATCAATCTCAGTTTATAAATTCTCTGCATTACAGTACATGCATCCCACTCCCTTCATCTGTAGTCAGCTTTAAGTTTCCACATCCCCTCTTGCCCAGGAAGCCTATGAAAGTCGCAGATGTTCCTGAGTAGTTCTCTGAACACTGGTGTCTGTGCAGAGGTCAGTCTCGGGGTGAAATACTCCAGGATCTCTTTAGTGCTGGCCTGACCATCCACCTGGGACTGGAAGGCCACAAAGTTTCTCAGGTCCACCAGCAACTCATCGTGTTCAGTAGGAGTGGCAGTCGGCTGACTTGCTTGCTCATCCTCTTCCTCTTCTTGTGCCTGAGGTAAGCTAAGATGATTTCTGGCCTTTATTCTGGCCAGCAGTGAGGATGAGGAGAGGGAGGCAGAAATGGACTCTTCCTCCACTCCCTCTCCACTGAAGTGGGCAGTCAATCCTGGTTTCTTGATGCCTGACTTCTTTATAACGGCTGCATCCTACATAAATGCACAAAGATTAAATTACATTGATGACATTTAAAAGGAAAAAAATAATCTCATCTTTACAACATTTTATATAGCGTATATTGCATTTTTACCTTGCACTTCTCAGATGGCTTTTGTGTTGTGCCAGATGGCTGGGCGAGAAGAGGATTTTTCTTCTGTCCAAATCTTTTTCTAAAACAGAAATCATGTATTTTTCTCGCTGTCATTCTATTCAGGAAAAGAAATGTTTGTGTCTCTGTAGTGGCTGCAGGTTTCTTACCTGACAGGTGCTGGCGTGGCTGGTGTGGATCCTCGGGAGAAGGGCAATCTGCAGTGTTGCCTAGACACCTTCAGTGCTCTCAGGGCATCCTTAGCTACCCTGTTGGCCTCAGCCTCCACCAGGACATAGTCTGGGTTTGATGCCTCCATGATTGTGTCATGTTTCATGACACTGTGGATTCCTGATTTTTTGAACAGTTTGGCAAGAACATAATCATCACTCTTGCGTTCATCCTTTTTGTCTTCCTCCTCTTCCTCATGGTCCTCTTTCTTGTATCTCCTCTTCTTCACCAGATGAGAAATACGATGGCCCTCGAACCGGGCGTTGTCAGAGTGCTTGCGCTTTTTATGCTTGTCTTTATGTCTATCTGAGGGCAAACTTGTCCCATCTATTTTGTCACAGTGCTTTTTCTTTTCCCTGTGTTTCTGAGGAGTGCTTGCACCAAAAAGTTCTTTTTGAGGACTGTTTGTTAATAAGGCCTCAGTGGAGCCTGCTGCTGGTTTCACATTTAAAGAGTCGCTGTTTGATGGCTCAGGTGAAGTATTTTGGTTTTTTACACACACTGAGGATGTCTGGGCCTGCTCTGGCTTGGATGGCATCTGTCTATGAAGATGGTTTGACTGAGAAGAATGAGGTGTTTTTTGTCTCTTTGGAATCTGTACATCTGAACCAGTACCTAAACAGAGATGCAGAAACAAATTTACCAATTTATGGCAACACTGCAAGGGTTACAGCTTTGATTTCAACAACTGATGAGTGATATGCAGTCAACACACTGTACAGTGGACACTTTCTTAATTTATCTCTCAACTTGGAAAATTATGCTACTTTTCGTATGGCCACAATCATGGTGGAAAACTATCAATTTATGGCTTTAAATGAATAATTACATAAATACCTGCAAATATTGCACTGGTCTCAGTTCCTTGAGAACTGTCAGGACTGCTTAGCGTGAAAAGCTCATAAATATCATTGGACTTAAAAAAACGCCGCTGTTTTGGATCCTTCAGCACTCGATTGGTGAGAAACTGCTTGAAGATTTGTCTGTTGAATTAGACAAGGGAGCATTGTATTAGTTTTGTCATCTCTATTACAACACAGTGGACTTTCCCATTTCCCATTTCAGACTTTCCCATAATGACAGCAAAATAAAGCTGTATCAGCGTTGATCCTATCCTGCCACATGTCCCTGCTTAATGGTGTAACTGCTGGAAAAGTATATCTGCTCATAAGTAAGCCTGAAATTGGTAAATTAATATGTTAACAATCTATCATTTCATAGTCACTGGGAATTCCCATTGCCTCCTTATGAAATCACACAATGGGTTAGGGCTGCCTT